TGCATATATGTGCTGCCTGCACTTCATGCTCTGCTCTGCCTGTTAAACAGCTGAACTGCTGATGTGATGCAGGTTCTCCTTCTCCAGTCCCTTCTCCACAATTCCACCTAAACGGGAATACATTACAACATTTTGCATGATGTTGAAAGAAAATGTGACCTTTTTTGTGCCAGAGTTGAGTTAACACCAAAACTGATTTTGCAAACTGTTCTTGTTTAGAGGAAAACTCCCACAGTGGCAGGTAAAACACAGAAACACTATTTATGATTTCACATTCTACGATGATTTTGAGCACTTATTTATATTTCTGCAGTTTTAAGGACAAAGCAATACCCAACCAGAAGCATCCAGAAATGAGAACTGAAACCACCACGTCAAAAAGCTGCAGTTCCCCTAATGGCCACTTGAGGTTGCCCCCCAAAATTATTTCAATCCCCACAACCTCCCATGTTAAAATGTCCATGTTTACAGCCAGCTACAAAAACTGGGTTTGTTCTTTCTAGCAGTTTTCTCCCTTTAAATCAACTCTACAAAGTTCGAATCTTTTAATGTTTTTTTTACACTTAAAGTTTTGTCTTATTCTGGTTGTTTCTGCTCTGAGCGACAGGTAAGGACTCGCTCAACTGGACCTCGTGATGATGGTTGTGCTATTAGTGCTTTCTGAAGCATTTATAACACATGACAAACAATATAACCCACTAACAATTAAATAATAAGAAACACTTCAAAAAGTTTGTGAGAGACTTTCTTTAATTGTAATAGTCTGCAACTGAAGATATCTGTGTCTCCACCTTTGGATGCACCTGATCAAGTCTGGAGTAATACTGAAAACTCCTGGTCAACAATATCATCATCATCATCATCATCATCATCATCATAACAGTAACCAAATGTAATCAAATGTAAATTCTGCTTTACTAAATTTCCTGCATTATATTAAAATAAATAAAAAAATATTAAATTCTATATTCAGGTTTCTAAAATGGGCGAAAAAACCCTAAGCCAGGAATTTGCTATACTTATAAATACAATTTATTATAGCCCTTTGCTTTCTGACTGTAGCATCAAGACCAAGAATGTGCTCATTTCGTTATTTTGATTTGTAATTCATTCATTTTTATGTGTTTCATTTACTTTTTTCTACATTTTGGGCATACATGTTGCAAACAGAGTTAATAATCTGTTTAGGAGGTATAATTCTGGACTGTACTGTACTAAAGTACTTATGTACTTTCTTCCATTCTTTATAAATAAAGTTGTTAATATTAAAGTCTAGAAGAAGAATTATAAGGACTCTGAGGACCAAGCTAGCAAATAACAAAGTCTCAGTTCAATTTTATTTATATAGCACCAAACAGTCAACAACAGCAATCCAACAGCTTGAAAGAGTCAGTAAAGCCCCAGATTAGCACTTTATAAACAAGTGGGTGATGTCACAGGAGCTCTGTCCTTCTTTTATATACAGTCTACAAGTGAAATTGAGCAGCAGTTTTTAATGCTGGACTTTTAACACATTTTTATTTTTCAAAACCTGAAATACTTATTTATAACTTGAGTTTCACTTGCACTCAGGCATTTAGGACTTTGATACTTCCATCCATCTGTTAGCTACATCTTCTTACCCTGTAGTGTGTTGTGTGGGTGGTGGAGCCAAACTCAGCTTATACTAGGAGAGGGGTGGGGTGACCCAGTCAATCAGAGAGCTATTTTTAATAACCACACAGACAACCAATCAGACTCACATTCACGCCTAGGGGTGATTTAGAGTTACCAGTCATCATAACTTCCAAGTTTTTGGACTATGTGAACCACACAGAGGGAACACTGAAGTTTACTTACATAGATTATGTTATCTATACTTTTTTCCTTCATACTGAGAAGTAAAGTTGCACATACTTGTGTTTTTATTCATTTACATACTTACTTTTTATAAGCAACAAACACTTCTGCAGAGGCAATTTAGTGTTGTGACTATTATTTAACTTATGCTGTGGTTAGACTTTGATTCTTAGTTTCCAGTATTTCTGTTAGGGTTTAGCTAACAGCAGGGGTCCATGACCAAACCCCCTGTAGCGATTAATGATGCCCAGTCTGTGGACTTGTTCAGAAATGCTGGTCAAATGCTGATAAAACCAATGTTTCTATAAGTGTGTGGTGTATGGGGCACAGAAATGTAATGTAAAAATTTATGTTTTTAACTTTCCACAGAATTAAGGCCCTTCATATCATACCATTAACTATAAGTTACCAGTTCCTACTTAAATCCCTGTTTCTTCGTAAATGCTTCTTACATATTGCACACTAACAAATGATAATAATAAACAAAAATAAAAATGAGTAATACTTCATGTTATGAGTTTGCAGAATCCTTTCAGCCAAAGCAAACATATCAGAGTTTATGGAGTACAGGACCTAAGCATCAGCAAGTAGTTTGACTGGAGATGTGCTCCTGAAACCACACACACACTGACGATATCTGTACGATGGAGGTGTGGATCAGCTGATAGCGGCCCGGCGAAAGGCCACTCACTCACCTGCGATGCGAGTTCCTGTTGCTATTGACATGACCCCGTCCAGAGCAGCCAGGAGTAGGGCACTTTAAAACATTTTCATACATGGCAAGGACTTTGACAGAGAGGAAAAGGTGAGAAAGACAGCCAGGGTTAGGAGCAGACAGGAGAGTTAACGGGTGTTCAGCTCGACGGTTAGGCATGCACAGATTACAGCTGCACGACTGATGTGACAGTGGGCAAGAATTTCACAAAACGGGCATGAACGCTAAGACAAAGTGCGTCAACAGCAGGAAGTTGCCAGTTCTCCTCTTTGTTTCCCTTGTAGCCACCTCAGATTCAGCTGTGCTTCATGTTTTGCATCGGTTTAAGAAACATGCCTCCTCATGGGGCTTATTTTGTCACAAAAATCATTAACGATTAAGGTAAATGTGCTGTGTTTTTTGCCTTTTTCCCCACGAACTTTCCTCTAAACTGCTCTCCGTTTGTAGTTATGATTGCCCCAAGTATTCCCTTCCTACTGAGGAAACACAGCTCTCATTTGCCTTTTGATCACTGCGGTCATGTCATGAAATTTCATGAGATGAGACTGTACTGGATGCAGTAGTTCGTCATGCACTGTTAAGGATGGCTGATGACTCCGCAGGAGGAAGAGGAATGTGTCTGGTAATAAATGAAGGTTTAAAATTCTGTTTCAGATCGTTTCTTTCAAATATGTATAATCTTCATATACAGTTTAAGTTTCTAGATATTGAAAAGCCCAGCAAGCTTTTACCTGTATGTCTGAATATCTTTCTGTATTGTCCATGCAGGTATTTCTTTTTGTCATTTTTACCTTATTGCATACAGAAGATAAGCTCTATGTAAAAAAGGATGTGAAGTCTCATTTGGAAGGCTGAATGTTTTTGCTGCCAATACATTTTTCTTTTTGTTTTATATACCAGACTGACTTACAACTCGAAAAATAGGCAGGATGATAAAGCGGGGCATGGTTTACAGAAGGGCTCACTTGTGATTGACAGATCAAATACGGTCCTCTCTCACCATGCCTGGTCTCAAAACAACACGATGCTAAAAGCCAAAATGTTCAGCGCAAGACTTCTGAACAGGCCTCGTTCACAGAGGACAAGAGACTGCTTGGCAACCACCTGGCAACCACCGTTCGCTAGGGACAAATGAGTATTCTGATTGGCTCAGTCGCTGTCAGTGGTTCCTGCTAGTCACTGTGAAATTGACTGCTGAGACCCAGTCATGCAGGCCTCGAAAATGTGTATTCCCCTATGACAAGTGGCTGGTCAAGATAGCTGGATGTTGCTGGGTGAATATTATTATTATATATTATATATTATTCATTTTTCTTTCCTTAGAGGTATATAGTGCCATACTGAAAACCTCCTTCTGATTGCTAATTTATCTGCAAGCCTTCCCCAACTAATCGCTAAATGTTGGGAAATTGTAAACAAAAAAACAAAAAAAAAGAAAACAAAAACAAACTGTGATTAAAACTGGAAACAGAGAAAATTCACCTTCAGAGTAAAAGTTGCACATTGTGAAATGTGTTGATTTCAGCAGTAAGACATGAAATGGTCTTTGTCTCCAGTTTGCATCACACATTTTTGAGTTTCAGTTTCAGTTTTGAGTGTTTGCAGACTTGCCATCTTTCATTCAAACTGTGGGTGAATGTGGTACTCTGCAAATAGCCAAAGCAAGAAGGTTTTTGGTGCAGCACCTTCTTTGCATCCTTTTCACTTTGCTACAGCCAGCAAACTCCAGCATCCACTTCCCAAAAAGCTTTGGGAATATCTTTTTTTTCCTCCTAGTGACCGTTAGGTACTAGAGGGTCACTGACCGGTCTCTGGGCATGCATGACTGACGACTAACAAACTGCTGATGTCTTATCGATCTTTTGTACAGTCTATGTGTTCAATTGTTCCACCAGGGTGAATGAAGCCTCATCTAAACTAATGTAATGTTTTACCTGTGAGTTCAGTGAGCATGCTTCAAGCAGGCTTAGATGGTTGGAAGTAATTTCATGTAGGTCTTTTTTTGAGGTTTTTTAGTCAGCAGGTTGATCAAACTGATTCTTCATGCTGTTCACGTTACAACAGCGACACAGAAATCAAAACAAGACTTCAGGCAGACGCGATGAGGAGAATGAAAAGAAAGTAAAGCAGTTCACAAAATTGAACCAAAAAAAGAAAAATAATACTATTTCTGGTGCCACAGTAAACATGAGTATGAACAGAAGCAGCTTTGTGTCCACAACAGCACTACAGTATGTTTGCTTTAGATAATTAAGATACTTTAGTAGAGGCTTTCTAACAGACAGAAGTGAAATTATATATATATATATATATATATATATATAAACATTTAAAGCGCAGTTGGTTTTGAAACTCAAAACCCTTGATAAAGTTTGGCAGCAATCAAGGTCTACCTTCTCAGTTGATCAAACATGTGTTAAACAAGCTCATTCGCGCATGATGATTAGACAAGACGTTCACAAGTTCTCGTGATCATAACAAAGTTAAAACCAGATTATCTAGCACGTCCAACACGACAGAACACAAATGCAGACTCATGCAGGACAGATGCATGATGGTGAACAGCCAACACTGCCAGCACGGTCCAACTTTAACTGTGATACAATCCATCTAACAAGTCATTTGAAGTCAGCATTTATTCCTTAAATCTCCTCAAATTGGAAGTAAACAAAAACAGTTCTGACCAGTAAATTATTTCCATTTGGTCCCAAAGACAAATTTTGGGGGTAGATGTCTGATGTGAAATGTTTTTTGTGCTCTCAGTCTTATATAACTCTCAGAGGCAGAAATGATCTGACTGCATGAGTAAAACCTCAAAGTGCGCAGCTAAATAAACACGATTCAGCTCACTCGTTAATGTAACACAACAGAAAAAAGAGGTTTGTGACACTGAAGTGCAGCTCCCTTTATCGCCAACTTTGTAGTCATATCAAGCATCAAACAAACTAGAACTCATTATCCATGTTGTATTACAAATATGTGGCAGTGAATAGCAGACGCAGAGAATCTTTTTACTTCTTTTTAACTAAATTTAAGATTTAGACTCATTGGATTTCTTTCTTTCCATGTTGGCTTTTCAGAATTTTTGTCACCATTTCTTTTCATTACAAGTTATTATGGGATAACCGTTGGTCACTGTTGACGCCTCAGTGGTTCATTTTAGACTAGAAAAATATTGTAACTACATCTTAACACAGAAGGATGACAAATTACAGATTTATGTAGTGCTTACATGTGGTTATTTATACATTTATACACATTAATTTAGAAATACTACAGAATATTTATTCATTAATAACTGTGTTTATTATTCTGGAGAACCCTTTTCTGCAGATAGCTTGTGTTTAGTGAATCTTATTGTCTACGGTTACCGGAGTTGCTGACCTCGCCTGTCATCATGTGTGTAGTTCATCCTCTTATGAGCCAAAGTGTGACTAATATCATCAGATTAATTACTTGGGACTCCATTGTATGTTAAGACACCTCTCTGGAAAACGGTGAGATGTCTTTGTGAAGTTGAAAAGAAGTCCAACTGCCTTAAAGTCCAGGTTTAAGACCACTGTGGCCTGGATGATGAGCATCTACACAGACATTTAAGGTTATGACGATATTTCAGTGCTTCTGATGTAGCCAAGAATGTTTTGATCAGTGATTTGATCATTTTTCAGGATTTTAAGGAAAACCTTCTTTTTATAGAGCAGAACATTAAAAACGTAAAAGTACCTTTTATTATTCAGGCCACGGTTTGGAGATTCAGCAAACGTGTCCTTGTCATCTGATGTTTTACTCAACCAATAAGGTGATTCCTGCCTCCAGAGCGCTTTGAGAAATGTCTGCACATATAAAACCGCCACCCCCACCAAAAGACTGAAATACCGCTCTGGGTGAAATGACTTGTCAGAGTGCTACTGAGTTTGTGTTGTCAATGCAGCACAACATGCAAGCAGAGGGACCTACTCTCAGGTGGGACACGATCTTTGTGGGGACACCCAGAAAGGCTGCGGTGATGCGGGTACAGCCCCGTCACATGACCGGTTCCGTCACAGCCTGGAGTCGGACACTTGCTCTCCTTCTTCTCTCCCCTGGAAGAGTCTGTGAAGACAAGGGGCAGCGAAAATTAGACGGAGGTGGAGTTGAGTCAACAGGTAATCGGCGTCCAAGTGTCGGAGCAGTTTTTGGCCATGAAAGGACTGAACACGGACCGTATATGGCTCATGGATTTGGCCAGTAGCCTGGTTCTTAAAAACCACCCACAACTCAGATTTGTTTAGCAAGGCAAACACTGTAGGTGTGATATTGGATCCACTGATGGCTGCTTCATTTGGTTCAAGAAACAATTGATCAATCAGAGCTTATCATGCCGAATTAAGCATCATCCTCCTACATAGATAACTCATTACCTCAGCTAGCAAGCACGGATGAGATTCACTTGGGTGTGCATGCTGCAAATCACTGACTAAGTCAGGACAAACAGAACAAAATAGGCCCCCTCCCAACAAGAAACCACAATATCAGGCTGAATAGGTGAAGCTGTCCTTGCACAGATGCAGACATCATAATAAAAGCCTTCCTTTGGACTAATAACAGCTTCTTATGGGTTAACATAGACTCTCTGTGCTAATCAAACAGTCTGAAGCCCATCTGAGGCTGTAGTGAGGACGATAACCGCACAGTGCCGACTCCCTACCAGTGGTAGTGGGGTTGTATATGAGTGGATTTGGAGAAATAGGCCGCAGATAGCGTCCCACAGATGAGATTTGCTCTTCTAACGGGCCGTGCAGATTGCCATTACTCATGCCTGACAAGCTGGCCGTCTGATGTTCCCACACCGGCCTATTTTAACAACATAAGCTGCTGTCAGTGGAAAACCATGCATCTGCAAAATAAAAAAAAACCCAAATTGTGTATAGCCCTGAATGCAGAAAATGAGTGCCCATTACCTCGTCTGCAGCCATGTACAACATTTCTGAAATAACACAGCCGGATTTTAACCAAGCCCAGAGGTCAGAAAACTCATTCAGTCCAGCAGTGTCCGTAAAAATGCTCAAATCAGGGAGGAAAAGACATTAAAGTTACTTTTATGTATTATTTTTTTCCTGCTGCAGCACTAATAGCCCCTGGCTGCTGCTGTACTGAGGGTTTCAATAAGTCAGACAGACAAGATAAACTCCCTCTCTGCTGACCCGGGGTCAACATTTTTGAGTTAAATATGGCTATGGTTAAATATGATGTGAAAAGGTGATGGGAAACTGGCAGAATTTAAAGAGAAGCATGATTATTTGACAACTTTGTGAATATAGTAATAGGTTAGAAGAAGCAGGAATGCAAGCAATATCTATTTCTCAGACAGGAGCTACAAAGTGCTTACACACATACACGGCATATAAGCTTACTGTAGGACAAAGAGCAAAACAGCAGTTTTACAAAAGTAAAAGAGGAAACATGGAAGTAAAACCACTACATAATGAATCCTGTTCATCACCATCACATATAAACTTTACTGCTGAATTAAAGGCACATTTCTTTTAGGAAGTTTATTTTGATCAGATGCAGCGTGATCGTGTCGAGCTACAGAGGGCTGACTGAACTAAATTCATTTCTCAGTGTCCAGGCTTTTGTGGTAAAAATAGTCCTGGCATGAAAAACCAGATGCAGGACCGTGTGAATGAAGAAAAGACTCCTCGTGGACATGAAGGAACGTTTCCAATTTAAACATGTTACACAACATCTTACACTGGAAGTCGAAACAGCAATGACGCCTAAAAGATCCTTAAGTTGGCTCCAAACTACTTAACAGACCTGACACATGGAACATGGAAAATCAACATATGCTACAGTATAATTTTCCAAGTTTGCAGAGTGTAGATCGATAATAACACAGACAGGGTCAGTGTGTGGGTTTTTCCTTGCCTACCTTTAGGGTAGTACGCCCTCTTCAACCCATCCTGCTGCATCCTGGACCTGCGCTCCTCTGCAGCGCTACTCAGCCTTGGGCTGTGCTCGCCGTGGCCGCGATGATGATGGTGGTGGTGATCCCGACGGGGCATCGCGTGCTCCGAGGCCATCCGGTCCCTCATGACCTTTGCCCTCTCCGATTCCAGTGCGATGGCCTTCTCCAGCAGCGACAGGTTTCCCTTGGCCATGTCGAAGGTCTCGTCCGAGCGGTCGGAGGCCACAGATGTGGTGTCCTCGTCGCCCTCCTGGCTGCAGCTGGTCGGGTAGCCTCGGGACGCCGGGCTCAGCTGCTCCTCCAGCTTCATTAAGTTCACCATGTCGGAGTAGCTGCGCTCCAGAGACCGGGGCTCGTCTTGTGCACCCTGCTGGCAGCTGTCATACCTGAATGTTTGAAGTCAAGATGCGAATATGTGGAAAGGTTATCAAAAGGATGTTTTATATTTCCTAACTTATTCAACTAAATGAACTTGAATGAAGGGTCACAATTTTGCCAGTTCAGCTGTATTCTACAAAAAAGTTTATTACAGTTTTGATTTATTAAAAAAACTTTCTGAAATAATTTAGGAACTGTTGTTGTTGGAGCTACCTTGAAGTTTAAGAAGCAAGGCTACCTATACAATGTATGCTCAACAGTCAAAGTAAAAAATGTTATCAAATATTAAAAAGGATAAAGTTATGTTTTAAAAGTAGATCCTGCAACCTTACAAATGAAACCTGTAATTGAATGTTTAATAATTATAAAAATGTAATACTTAATAGGTTTGTGAAAGTACATTTTCACATTTAAAAAGGACTAATATAAAGATAAATCAAAGGTCTTCTGACCGCGCCCACAAAAAACTGATTAAGATGTCTGACCTCCCCTTCAAGGCTGTCTCTTTGTGCACCTCTGGACCATGCAGAGCATTATATTCAGAACGAGCACCTGCAGATGCACGTTTCATACTTCACTGTCTGACTTCTGTATCACCTTGAGTTTTATTTTGCGGATCATCATTATAAATGAGAGCCGGTGTGAGGCTATAGCTCAGAATGCAAACAGCGATTTTCATTCTTCAGTATAGCACAGTCTGAAATTTTGGAGGAGTAGTGCTTTAGTTTGCTTTATCCTACACACCCAAAACCCAAGCTACCCACAAGCTCCCTGTGGTTTGTCCTTTGCATCATAATGGAATTAAACTTAAAAGTTCGCATTTGGAGTCAGTGGAGGACAAGCAGCATGACAGCTGCAAGGGCAAAGAATTAAAGGAATACAGGAAGAGATCCAGAAATGCACAGGAGGACAGCCTTCAAGGGGGAGACAGGCCAAACTGAAAACAAAACATTTTTTCCATTGCACTGTTTATGCAAATCCTCACACTTCATGCATTACTGATAGTAAATGGTTAATAAACTGGTTCTTTTATGGCGTTTTTCTACTGTGAGCACTCAGAGCACTTTATGCAACTTGCCTCATTCACCCAGTGATGGAAGCACTTTTATCTATGCTTTCTTTGCTAGTGATATCTCTGTCCCGCCATTCATGAACAGAAACACGCATCAGAAGGACTACAAGTTTTAGTTTGCCGTTGGCTATGGAAGAAAAGAAGAGTGCCCTCTACCCTTTCCATGCGTGCATGCTTGCATAAGAACTACTGCGTTACTGCTGTATTAAGTACCATCAGTACCATCTATGTAGTTTTGAAAAGCTACCTACTATGTTTTTCCTCGTTTACTTGTAGATGCTCATGTTAAACATGACCAAAGGTTTCAATAATGAGGTCAACATATTTCAAAGGCAGACAGAGGTAATGTGCATATTATTTTAATCTTAAAATCATATCTGTGAACTCTTAAGAGATTATCTACCTGTTCAGGTGGTGCACCCCCTGGTGGTCTGCTGGATTTTGGAGTTGGTGGTGGAGAACGTGGTGGACAGGACGATCAGACGGCTGAGTCTCACTCAGCTTCCGGGCCAGATCAAAGCACTGATTCCTCAGACACTCTAGGCTACTGAGACACACCTCCTCCTCGCTCTCCTCAGTCTGACCCCTGACTCCCATGCCGGGCCGCCCGTTTGTATGGCTGCCGTCGTTCACCATGGTGTCTTCGGGGTAGCCGTCTTCAGGCAGCATGGCGCCGTGACCCTGCGCCAGAAGCTTCAGGGAGTCCACCGTCTCCCTGACCACGTCGCTGTCCAAGTCCACGCTCAGCTCACCCTTCCTCTCGCCCTGCTCGCTGCCGTCGTCCTCTTCGTCATCGTCGTCTTCCCCGGCGCTGTTGGAGGAGTTGCTGTTCATCTCGGACTCGGTCATGGCCTGGTAGGCAGCATCCTCAGCGATCTTGCCAAGGTTGAGAAGTGACTTGGCAACCAGCTCGTCGTAGTTCTCGTACTCCTCTCCGGTCCCGTTACCGGCGCTGATGGTACAGCTGTTGTTGTTGTTGTCGTCCTTCTGAATTGGAATGAGCTTTGATTGTCCACCGGGTTTGTAGTGGTTCTCTGCAATCAGGAAAGCAAGAAACAAATCCCTTTGTCTTGATACTGTTCAGGAATCTCACAATGCAGCCAAGAAACGTGTCCCGCAATAACCCACGCTATACGCAACATAAACAGCAGGTAATTTGTGAAAAATGTGAGGGAAAGTGATTTGTTTTGCAGGTAACACAACTATCAGTCCATTTATAGAATCAAAATCCTGCAGATGAAGTGGAAATGAAACCCTTATCCTCTAATCATGTCAGCAGTGCTGATGAACTCTTTTTTTTCCCCTGTTATATTCTCGCCTGTATTATCTTCATCCCTCCCAATTATGATCCACTGTTTACTCACAAAAAACATACAACCCAGAGCGGTGCGCGGCAGTGTCGCTCTCTCCGATAAGCCTCGCTGTTGATTTTGGGGACAGAGGCGGCGAATGAGAGCAGAGAAATTGAAAAGGGAGGCGTGTGAGGTGCTCCGATTCAGGAGCCATAAATATCCTCAGGAGGAGAAACCGAGGCAGAGCACATGTGACACGTCCGCCGAGACGAGGAGGCAAACGAGGAGGGGAGGGAGGGAGTTAATAACTCAGCAGAGCTCCTCTCCCATTTATTCGTGAGGCACTGTCAGAAGCGATTGAGGACACGGGGGGTGTTTGGGGGGAGAAAAGGAAGCGAGGTGGGAGGGAGAGCGCAGAGCATCTGGTCTACCAAACCCTCCTCAGCAGCACTCATCACTTAGTCTTCTCCTTCTGCAAACCGCATGCAAAAGTGGACATCAGCGCGACACAGAACAAGACCTGAATATCTGCGACATTGCTGCGTTTATCCATCTGTTAATTCGACAGCTTTTTGGCATCTTTACGTGTTGTAGGTTGGAAAAGTTCCACGAATCTGCACAAACACGGTGGCCCCGTCACGGATCGAGCTGCAGTGCTCGCAGAATATCTGGCACACAACACTGAAGGCATGTCCCGGCCAGAAGCACCGGTTTCATGAAAAGTGCAACAACAACAAATGTTTACAGCATTTGTTTAGCAAGCCCATGTGTTCTTTCTGTTGCTTTGTTCTAAGCTTAGTTATAATGTTGAGCCTGTCTTTTCCTTCCATGTGCTCTCTGGGTTTTTCTACCTTTTTTTTTAACTTACTTCCTGTTTTATTTTAAAGGGTCTCCTTCTTTGCTTTCTCCTTTGTTCCTTCTCCTATAATCATTATAATCTTGACTTCACCTGTGTCTTACTGTCTTTCACTCCCCTGTATGTGTCTTTAGTCTGCAGCTTGTCAGTCTTTGTCTACTCGACATCTGAATCAGTTCTTGCAGTTTTTGATTAATACAAAAGGTTGCTCTTCCCCTAACTGAAAATTTTTATTCTTTTGTCTTTTAATTTCTTTTATCTGCATTGTCTCGTTTTGCTTATTTTACCCCAAGGCCTTTTGTATGCTATGTAAAGCAATTTGAATTCCCCTGTTGTTGAAATGTGCTATACTGATAAACCATGCATCAGCAGTGGTTCAGTTATTCACTACAGTACTTTTTCATTTAACCACCTGCCACTCCACCTTGATTTTCAGTTCACTTTATGAATTTAACTGCTAGCATGCCACTGTTGTACATTCCTTTTTTAAAAATGACTCAAGAATTTGATTATTCTCCAACCCTATTTCCAAAGGTGTAAGGACGAAGTGTTAAAATAAAGAGAGAAAGTCGTGATTTGAAAATCATTTAAGTCCTATATTTAATTGAAAAGAGCACAAGGACAACCCATCAGCTGTTGAATGTGAAAAAGTTCACAGCGTTTTTACAAATATAAACTCATTTTGTCATTTTGAAACAGGCAATGTGTTTTATAGAGGTTGGAACAAAGGACTGGAAAAGCTGTGTAATACTAAAATCCTTTTAGTATTACACAGGATTTTTGAGTTTGGGATTTTGAATTCTTTTTGTGTTTTTATGATCAGTTTGGTTCTTGACTTTCATGTATTTTTGAATTTTTATTTGTATTTGAGTTTAACTATTCCTCAAGGTTTGATTTCTCTCTTTTACTAGTCTCGACAGTTTCCTAGGTGTTATTTATAATTTGTGGATTTTGTACGTTTTCTGTGTGTTAGGTGTTTGTGTTAGTTATAGACTTTCTCCTTGAGTATTCTTCTCTCCTCCTCTGTGTCTTCCCACTTCTCTGATTACCCTTAGAGTCTATATAGACATGTCTACACTCTGTTGGTTGTCTGTTTGTTCCGTGATCTAGTCTTTGTCCACATTTGCTATTCATGGATTTAAGCCTGTGGACTTTTGTGGACTTTTGCATTCAACCTAAAAAAATTCACTTTTAGTTATTTTAACTGTGTCCTGTATTGTGTCCTGTATTATTACCTGAAATTTTAACAAATTCTCTAGAATTTTGGAAATTTTATCACATATTGTACTCAAGGCTTTTAAAAGATTCAGAGGATCAAAAATCACTGTGTGGCAATGCTGTAGTTTTTGAATGGCCGTGACCTTCAGACCATTTGGCAGTTAGGCAGTCTCGACCTGTCACTAAATGGAAACATTTGGCAGATTGTGAAATGAAAAACACAACAATGAAGGCCTCAAACTGATGAACAGCTGAAGTCATACATTAGGCTACGTGGCTGCTGAAACAATAAACTCTTCTTCCTGATTGGAGCTCCAGATCCTGAAAAGCAACTCGTTTAATCTGCATGAACCAAAGCAAAACTATGACGTGGCTCGTGTCCTTCATCTTTTTCTCATCCAAGCAACTAAAGTAACAAACCGCACACTCACCCTGTTGACGACGCTGCTCTTCCTCTTCCTCTTCTTCCTCGTCTTCCTCTCCCTCATCATCTTGCTCCTCCTCGTCATAGCCGTCTTCCTCCTCTTCCTCATCCATCCCATCTTCCTCTTCCTCCACCTGCTCACCCTCCATTGCTGTATCTGTTCTCTCCACCTCTATCTCCTCTTCTTCCTCTTCCTCCTCCTCTTCTTCTCCCTGCTCCTCGTTGTCCTCCGAGAACTCGTCTTCCACCTCGCCATCTTCTTCTTCTTCTTCTTCATCTCCTTCCCTCTCCCCTTCATCCTCCTCCTCGTCCTCTTCAACTACCTCCCCTTGCTCCTTCCCCTCCTGCCCCACCTCCATGGCTTCGTTCCCATAGCTGCCATAGCTGCCAGCATCCTCCTCCAACTCACCCGGGCAGGAGGTGAGGAAGGGCCTCCTCTTGGCAGCCGGTTCCAGCGGTTGTTTTTCCAGAGCCTTCCTCTTCTTGGCCAGCGGGCAGCCGTAGATGCTGAGATGGGACAGAGGGCACACACATGATCAGTATCCATCTTTGCTCTCCTATTTACTCTTTGATCGTTTGCCCTTTTGCTGCAAACTGCAACAGATTCAGAGGATAAATAAGTTTAAAAACAGCCAAATCTGACAAACACATTTGATCCTGCTGAGCCAGAACACATACCGGCACTTAGCCATAATCAGCTCAGTTTGGCCAGAGAGAGCGCTCGTATTTGGCCTCTCATACCAATGAAGCAGGTAAACTTCCAAATTTACCATGAAATATGAATCCAGAAGAGTAATACCGATCATACTGTAAATGAAGGGGACGGGGTGCAGGAGGCAGGTGTGTTATTTATAATTAATACCACCTGATTTCCTCTTAGAGAAATTTAAGAGTAATTCTCAACGTTCTTGTTTGTGCCTCTTGCCTTTTTGTCAGAAGCGTTTGTTTTACAAGTATGACCTCTGTCTGACTTAAAGACAGTTTAACTGTACACATAAGATGTGTACAAGTATAACAGGCAAAACTATATTTATGTGCTTCCTCAAAATCAAAAGCTTTTGACCATATTAATTATTGTAAATTATTGACTAAGTTACAAGAGCACGGGCTCATATCTGGAAAGGATGTTAAATATTACTGGTATCCTTATCAAACTCTGTAAGTCCAGGGTGGCAGGAGTAAAAAGCAGGGTTTGAAAAGGTGGGACCTTGTTCTGTTCAGTTGGTATGATGAACTTTCTAAAACATTAAAGAAGCAGAACAGTGAATGTATGAATGCAGAGAGCATTATTAATCATATGATGCATGCTGATCATTTGTCTCCTTATAGTGGCAGCTGCAGCAGATGCTCAAGTTGTGGATGTCGACGTGTGATACTGAGTTCAAATCTAAGCGTCCCGTAATATTGATCGCTTTGACCACATTGTTCCCTCATTCTGTTTCAATATCAAGTTTTAAATGTGGTAACTAAAGTCAGATATTAAAGTCACATGATCAGGAATGTTCTGTTATATATGTGTAGCATATAGCTTGATGCACAAGCTTCAAAGATGGGCAAGTGCAACTCAGATACCTGTGATGAGTAATGTTCCTACCTTTCACACTGTGCTGAGAAACTTTAGGTATAAATTTATGTCTCAATTAATTCCTTTTTATAATGTGCTTCTAAACAAAACAGAAACATTCCTCTAGCATCTCAAAAAAACAGGAACCACTGCTTACTTGTGCTGTTGTTACTGATGTTGCTGTTTTGTCTTTTGGATTGAAATTGATTATACGTAGGGCTGGGCTATATCATACCGTTCACGGTAATACCGCTGTAATTTTGGGCAACGATGGGAAAATGAAATATCACGATAGAATATGGGTAAAACGTGCATGTGCAGTGCCTTTGTTTACATACACACATGGCGGCGATGCAGAATGAGAAGGGCG